TATTATGATTATTATTATTATTATTAATAATAATAATAATAATAAAATTAAAATGTGCTCTGTGCAGTCAGATGTCAGTTTATGGAGTGCAAGAGTCGAGTCGCGACTGTTGATGTCATTGGATAACCAACGCGTTGCGTCTTTCTCTCCTCTTATCCGATTGGTTACCGCTGAACCATCTGAAGCTGTTATTGGATTTTTCCGCTGTAGCTCAAAGCTTTGCCCCGCCCACCAGGAAATCACAGGTTAGTGAGTGCAATGCGGAATGAAAATGTCCTTCCAAAACAGGAGAAAGTGAGTGTGGGCTGCCTTTCTTTCACTATTTCACTTTGAGTATTGCGTTTAAAGCTGCTATGATGTGTCTGATCTTAGCTGCGCTTTAAACATTTATAAATGTTTATGTGACTGGAAACTGCCTTTAAAGTGCCTGGTCTGTGTGTGTGTTGAGCTAAGCTAATGTGCGTGCAGCTGCTAAGGACATGGACACACAGAGGGGCAGTTTATTTATGAATGAGTATAAATATAGTAAGAATAATAAAATAAATAAATAATAATGACATAAATTTCTTTAAAAGGAACAGATTCTGCTCATTCACAATCTGTGTGATTTTGTAGCTGCCAGTGACTTCTGTTCTGCATGTATGTATCATGTAGTTGCAGGGTTGTTGATCTCATATATTGAGTTCTCAACATAAACCTTTAGATTTCTGAGAAAAAACGGATTCCTCAAGAAACACTTTTCTCTGTAACTGTCTGTCAGATTATGACATGACAGATGAAGGGCGTGTGATCCTACAGTTTGACTTGCTGTACAGATATTTCTGCAGATGTTTCTGTAATTTGTGTTTTTTTTTTCTTTATAACTTTTTTAATCACCTTTACAGCACAGACCTCCAATGTTAAATATTTAAAAAATATATGTATGTATGTATATAAATGTGTGTGTGTGTATAAATAAATCCAAAATTTTCGTTGTAATACAAAGTAATAATTATTATACTTTAATATATTTAATACAAAAATATTTATGTATATATATATATATATATATACATATATTTCTGCAAATTTTTCTGTAATTTGTGTGTTTTTTCTTTATTTCGAAGTCTGATTACCTGAGATCTGATTACATTTGATAATCACTTTTATAGCACAAACCTCAGGCATTAAATATATATATATATATATGTGTGTGTGTGAATAAATAAATTGTATATTCATAATTATATTATATAATTATATATATTTAAAGTATTTTAATATGTTTAATACAACAATTTGTGTATATATTTATTATAATATATTAATAATTATGTTTTCATTTTATTATAGTAATAAGAAGTTTGAGGGGAAGTGTGCTTAATATTTTTTTTTTTTTTTTTTTTTAATAATTCAGAAACACTTATTACTCCAATAGACATTTTATCATCCAAAATAAATAAAAAAATTGTCCTTTTATGTGTGTGTGTGTGTATCTTTTAAAGCTTTTAAAGTGATCAGATCTGAGATATATGATATCAGAGTGATTATCAAATGAATTTATCAGCTATTTGTAGGTCAAATCAAGTTATTATTGCTGTATGTAAATGTCAGAATATGAGGTGTCTAACTAAATGTCTTCTCTAAATTGCCAATATTGACACCTGTTTTGCATATGGTGTCTATCAGTCTGTTTATATAAGCAAAGCTTCTAATCTAAACCACAGTATGAAACGTGTTTTCATTGTCTCCAAGGCAACGAAAATGAAGAACTCGGCAACGCTGCGACGTGGAATCGAAAGCTCAGAGTCCTGCTGATCTGCGGAGCTGAACTCCTGCTCCAGCTGTTCCAGGATCTGTGTGGAGCGACTCGGATGTGAAAGCATCTGCAGGAGGGAGGGGCGGAGCTGAGATGTCAATCAGAAGCGTTGAGGGCGTGTCCATCATGCAGGCCTTAGCCATGACCGTGGCTGAGATACCTGTGTTCCTGTATTCCACCTTTGGACAGGTACACAGCACAACACACCTCTGTGTGTCTGATCACACGCCTCACAGCTGCTCCTCTCTTCTTATTCTGCAGCTACACACACACACACACACACACACACACACACACACAGAAGAATGCTGATACATTACATTAAGTCTTGGGCTTTAGTGAAAGTTTCTTTTTTTTCTTCGTAGAGATTGCACTACTCTATAAATATTTTTTTTATTAGTTTTTATATTTCTGTTTTTAGCTTTAATTGATTTTTATTTCATTTTAGTTTGAGTTATTTCCGTACTTCATCCTGTACAGATTTGTAAGTTTTCTAAGTTTAAGTTTTCATTTAATATGTATATTTTATGTTATTTATGCTTTATTTGAGTTACCAACATTTTTTAGTAGTTTTAGTTTATAACAATTACACAGATTTTTTAACACGTTTTTACAATTTTGTGACCATTTGTATGAAATTAATCAGGCTGCTTTGAGTGAATGTGCGAGTATTTAATTTTTTTAATGCCCACAATTGTATAATATAATATAAATTATTGTAATTTAAAATTATATTTTTGAAAAAATTTAAATAACATAAAATTATAATTTCAGTCTTAAATTATGCAATTTGTTGATGTTTTCAGTATTTTTGTTAAGTTGTTTTTTTTTCTATAATAAATGCAAAGTGAAAACAGATAATAACTGATTCCCATTTTCTTCTCTCCTTTTCCCTTTCTCTGTCCCATCTGTCTTTTCTCAGTCTATATTCTCTCAGCTGAAGTTGAGCCCTAGTCTGAAGAAGGTGCTGTTTGCCACGGCTCTGGGCAGCGTGGCTCTGGCACTGACCGCGCATCAGTTGAAGAGACGGGGCAGGAAGAGGAAGCAGGTAGTCAGTAAAGAAGCTCAGAAACCTGTGGGCGTCCCAGAACAGCTGCTCCGAACCAGTCGGCCAGCCTCGCTCAAGAGAGGTGAGCATATTCACATGTTTTGCTTTTAAAGATGCTGCGGTATACACCTTTGCAGTATTTTAATTTTTTATTTCATTTTAAATAAAACATTATAATATAAACTATAATGTTTATTAAAAAAAATCATAAAACTATAAATATATATATATAAATATATATATAATGAAATTAATCATGCTACTTTAAATGAATGTGTGAGTATTTTATTATTTTTTTAATGTCCATAATTTTGTATTATAATATAAAATATTATAAAATAAAGCAATAAACCCCGTGAAGCCGTGGTTTACAGTGAATTTATAACAGCTAAAGTGCGTTGTTAAAGGAACACTCCACTATTTTTGAAAATAGGCTCCCCTAGAGTTAAACAGTTGAGTTTTACCGTTTTCGAATCCATTCAGCTGATCTCCGGGTCTGG